CAAGTTAGGGACTAAAAAAAGAAAATATGTAACTACATATCAATGTGGATTTGTTTTTACTAAGCCGAAATGCGAACACAATAGTTAATTTGGTTTGACTTTCCACTGAATTGTTTCATCCAACAGTGAAAAAATGAGTTATCGCAGGCATTAATACATATATGACGGAAAATATTTCACTTTAATACGTAAAAATGGCGTTGGGGGCCTTACGAGGAGAAAATGAACTAGTTCTGTGAACCCAAACACAACAAAATTATTACGAGATATTTACTCGAGCGGTTGATTACATCTGTAATCATATGATCGTATAATAGACCGCGTTTATGCTGCATATTCATTTAATGGACAGCGTATAGCACATTTCTGTGTGTCTAGAGAAGATGCATTATGGACTAAACTGAACGGAGGAAGGTTACATATGTTAAATATTCGTCTTTAAAATCGACCCACCATGTTAGTTTCGATGGCCAGTATCCGGTTGCACTCCCTCCAAAATGTTGATACTTCCACATCACTTGCCCAACTACCCTCTTTTCAACCGTTGGTTCCACACCACGTCCTATTTCCTGGTAGATACTTATACGTTGGATCTTACACCATCACACTGCAGCGCGATCCTGGAAACGTGGTATTACAGATATTTGACGACCTCCACCGCCTACCTTCCTCCCACAGACCGCCTATGCAATTAACATTTTTTAAGAAATAATTTTTGCCAGCCTTTCCAATGTAGTAAATTACGCAAGCCACTGTTTCAAATCCATGCAATTTGTTTCTTTGCCCCGTTGGAATCCTATACGAGTGCATGTTTAAGTGCTTGCCAATCTTGCCCTGCCCCATAAGCGGGCCGCGTGATATGTGTACTGGACCAGCACAGGGGTCAGGTCAGGGTAAGGCAAGTGTTAATCGCGTTGCGCGCCGATAAAAAATGCCGAACATTGAGAGAGGGCGCGGTGGCACACGTATTGAGGACCTTGGCTGCAACAGCCACCTGTGTCCGACCCCACCTCCAGTCTCCTTGACTGTGTCTTGGCACCGGAAACAGGTGTTTGAGGGAGGGGAGAACGCGATAGATGCTTCGCAAGTATATTATCACTAACAACTAATGCACGTGCTTGTTACAGTCCGTGCACTAACCTGTTTGGAGCGTACGGTAGGCATTGTCGAAATCGACGGTTGATTTGTCGGCCAATCCTGTCCAGTGTCTGCAGAGGTTAAAGGACAGCTAGAGACCTCTTGCATAGTATGGGTGCAGTTGACCTGTTGGCTTCATCCGTTTATCATGTGCTGCCATTATCTGGCTTTTAAACCCTGACGTTTTTTTTTCACTGCAAATTCGTATTGCAGTACTCGCAACCAGAATGGGCCTTTAGACTTTCCATTTCTGAGTTGGAAATGATTATTTAACAAACAACCGGTTTTGATATACTATCACTTAATGTGTGTTTCACGCGAATGGACGTTTAAAAGTGCTCGTGGTCTCCGAATAAAGTGGTAGTGAATTCAACAGTTGGTGGAACACAACTCCATTCATGATTTGCGGAATCTTTGTGGCCTATATTTGCAAAACGCTACTTGCACCATTTAGACCTAGATATTAATCAAATAATTTCTGCGAAGGAAGGCTAACTGCCGGCTGCAGACCTTAAAATGGTTGGAATTTATTTTCACGTCCCGCGGACAGAAACGGGGGCACATCGGCACCGTACAAATAAAAGGATATTTGTTTGTGGTACATTTTTCACCCTCTGGTTTTTAGTTTTAAGCTGGTATGGATCGGCCGTATAAAATTGACGAGAAACTACTGGAGTACCTGAAGATATGTGCATATGTATATTATAGTTTTTCGAATGTGATAACAATGCACTTTAATGCCGTCATATGATTGCTAACTGGTCACTATCGCATGGGAATTAAACTCTAAAAACCGAGGGGAACTGCTTCCTCTCGATCTCCTTTGCTATTATACTAGGGATAGTGTAGACTCATTACGTTTGACTCTTAAAAGCCCGGCGCATAAGACTAATTAACCCTTTAAAATTATTGTTTTTCAAATTATGCGGTGCACTCGAGAATTTCTCGGGTTCTCCCCGACTCTGCGCGATAGGATTGCATAAAATAAGCGCTTCTTTATTTTGAAAAAAACCCAACAAAACAGTCTTTATGTTACCACGCTTGGACCAGTTCCTGGGATGCGAAATAGCCGCAGTAGCGTGAAGTTGCGTCACTGACGCGTCGAGGGACGACACTAAACATAATTATTTACTTAGAGAAGAGTGATCGGCTCCACTGTAATTGTTGGTGGGTCTGATGTTGGACTGCAACGGGTTGACCCACAGATCTTGTTGATAATATCGCCAATGAGTTCTAACCCTCACTTATTCCAAGTCGGACACTCGG